GGGAACGAGGCAAGCTAACTAGAAGTCTCAATAGAAGGAGGCTCTTGCTCTTGGTAGAAGTTCTGATGACCTCTTCTTACCTCGGGGATCACATGAGAAGTCCCTGGACCATGAAGGTTTACTGCAGATAAAGAATGAGACACTTGGCCAGGCTTCTGGGCAGATCATTTCTTTCTTCCAGGCCATGACATGACTGAGGGTAGAGATGAAGAGGAGGTCTCTCAAGGACATCCCTTGGTGGGCATGGGGGAGTAATTAGAAGGATGATCTTGGCAAGGGGCAAGGAGCAAGGAGCTTGGGTTTCCAATGGCCAACAAGTCCTTCAATTTTTCTCCCCTTATTCTGGTCCAGAAATTCTGACCTTCTAGTGGATCCCAAAACCTTTTAGGCAAGAGACCACAGGGTCTTTGCACCTGCTATTCCTTCTGCCCAGGATGGTTCCCCTAGATATTCAAATGTTTTACTGCCTAGCTTCCTGACGTTGTTCTGGTCTTAGCTCAGATGTCACATGTCACATTAAGGGGCTCTCACTACTGCCTTCCCTCCTGTTTCTTCCACAGGATACTTGTCACCACTGGACATGCTTTATCTTTGGTTTGCTGCCTGTCTCTCCCACAAGACTGTACCTGCCATGAGGGCAGGACTCTTGTCTGTTCCCCATTGTATCCCAGGGCCCAGAAAATCCCTGACTTGCAGTCGATGCAAGGTGGCTGAGTGAATGGGTGGCAAGGATCAAGTAGGAGAGCAAAATATTGGGTCCAGGTTATACCTTGGCAATCTCACTCTAGAAACCATTTGGGAAGTGGGTTTGAAGAAGTGTGATGTAAGCAGAGGGTAGACAGGAATGTGGAGGAGGGGCTGAGGTACAGGTGGGTCTTTGCACATGAGGCAGTTTGGGTCTTTGGGGCATGGCTGGGGCAGTGAGAAGAAGTGGGGTGGAAAGAGAACCAAGGAGGGCGAGGGCCCCTAAGTAAGGAGAGCCCCCGTGTAAGATGCTGCTGGGGAAAGACAGGTCTATGGAGAGGCCTCCAGGTAGGGACCAGTGGCTGGAGGCCAGCAGAGCAGGGCTGCAGGAAGGATGACAGATGTCACTGTAGGAGGGATACAGTAAGACCAGACCTGAGAAGTGGCATTTGGACTTGGCATTTAAAAGGGTCAGGTAATGTTAACGAACTCAATGACCGTGGAGAGAAGGGAAAGGGGTGAGATTACATGGTACCTGGAGAGATGCTGGGGCAAAAGCTGGCTCCTTTTGGCTTTAGGAGAGAGACTGAGCTTCTCAGTAGCCAAGGCACTGAGGAGCTCACAGTGATACCCCCTCAGAAGGAGGGGGTATCAGAAAACAACAGGAAACAATGGGGGTGGGGGTGGGGGAGGCTCCGAGGTTGTAGCTTGCTTCTGTAAGTGAAATCGATGCAGCGCGAGACTTTCGCAGCTCAATAACTTATTAGCAATTTTTAATTACTGGAATGTAATTAATTCATTCAGAAGGCAGCAGCTCTGTGAAGCGCACCACATGTGCTGGACTGATAACATTCTTGCACATTTTCAGGGTGCTCACACTAAGACATTTTCTTGCATAAAATCTAGAGGAAATATTCAAAGAACACACATTTGTTTTAAGTCGTATTTCTTGATCCTGGAAACAGATGCTGCAAATGGGATGATTGAGCTCCAAGGGAGGTTGGGATGGGGGCTGGCTGTGAATGGATTTTCAGTTGAGTCAACTCCAAACAGTTTGCATCAATGGGAAGAATCCATGGAGTGGGGAGGAGGTATCCAAAACGAGATTGCCCAAGGATTTCCACTGATCCTTGAGGTCTTGGGGGTGTCTCTGGCTAAAGCAGTTTTCAATCATGACCCACAGTGGGGATGCTAGGGATTAGAGCATGACCTTTCTTTGACTATCAATTATACAAGGTCGGGCCTGGCATCCTGATCATTCAGGTATCCTCATATCCTGGCACAGCTTTGGCATAGCCAATGGCCATTCAGCAACTATCCAAAGCTGGTTTGGTGGAAAATGGCCCAAACACTTCCCTATGGAGCTCAAAGTAAAGTCTACCCACGTTCATGCCCCTGGGCATGAATGTGGGTAGAACCAGGAGCAGGAGGACAACTGGAAGAACTGAAGAGGGATCCCAGAGGAAAAGCAGAAGCCAGCTCCAGCTCCAAGAGACAGGTTGGGCTGATGAGAGGTGCTTCCTAGTGTCTCTGCTTTCTACCCGGGGCTGGTAGGAGCCTCTGGGTGTCCTTGTGTCCCCTACTCTTTTCTTATAGGAGACACATGGCCTGGTTTTCTGAGGTCAGAGGCCCTGTGAGTTGAGATGACTGAGCCAGTTTTCCCTGGAGAAGCCCCTGCTTCTCATGCAGGTGCGTGAGGTCTTTCTTACCGAGGGTGGCTCTGAGCTGCCCTTCACACCAGGAAGTTTTCTGGGGAAGACAGGAAAGATGGAGCCATTGCATCTGCTGGGAATATGACTTTCTGGGACATAAATAAAAACACCCCCCAAGTGTGAGTGTTTTCAAGGACTGGTAGCAGTAGCAGATCCCAGACCTTGGGCTTGGCTCTGCCTGTGTGACTTGGAACAAGTACCAGTCCACTCTGGCCTAGTCCCCATCTTGGAAGTGAGAAAGTTGGATTAACTTATTTGACTCCCCACTAGCTTGAGTTCAAATGACCTTGTTTGGTACACAAGGTCATTCTCTGCCCTTTCAACCTACCCACCTTCCTCCTCTTCCTCCTCCTCTTTCTCCTTCTTCTTCTTTTTTGGTTCTGGGGATTGAACCCTGGGACTTTAACCACTGAGCCACATTCCCAGCCCTTTTAAATATTTTATTTAGAAACAGGGTCTCGCTGAATTGTTTAGGGTCTTGTTAAGTTTCTGAGGCTGACTTTGAACTCCAAATCCTCCTGCCTCAGTCTCCTGAGTCACTATGATTACAGGCATGCACCACTGTGCCCAACTTCAAGATCTTTCTTGAATATTTCTTCTGGCATCTTCTTTAAACATTCCCCTTACATCCTCAAGCTGGTAGATTCCTTCCTCATGCTGCACTGACATTTTCTGAGATTTTTGTGCATATCAGAAACCTCTTTTGTGCTGGGAATCAGGGACACTTGGTTCTCCTCTTGCTTCTCTATTAACCCACTAGATGCTCAGGTGTCTCAATTACTTATCTTTTCAAAGAGTGAGCCAGTTAGTGAAAGTGTCAATTCCATTTGACCAATTGAAGGTCAAAATCTAGTCATTCAGTAACAAATATGGAGGACCAATGTTCTTCTCTTTCCTCACTCATAGGAAGACCCATCAGCTTTTTGGTTCATATCTAGCATTGTCTCAAAAGCCACTTGCATCTGCCCCTTGAATGTTTTCCAGTGTTTGCGATGATATCATCAACATCTAGAGGCTGTTGCTACCTGTTAGAGAGGAGTGCTCATTATAGGCAGGCACAGCCCATTGAACATCACGAAAATACTCTGTGAGGTAGGTGTTGTTATTATTCCCATTTTACAGATGAGGTAAGGGACACATGGCAAGCCTTGTCTAAGCAGTATGGTGTGGGCTGGCTCTTTGCCTTATCAGCCTAGCCTTGCCTTAGGACCCAGCACTTCTCTGTTGCAGGGACTGCTCTGGCAAAGCTAAAACAATCCCCTGTCATTTTCAAGAGCATCACAGCCTGCTGTGGGATTTCACACATCTTAAGGAGTAGGTCTCCTGCCCAGGGCTGGACTGAGCTGCTCAGCCCGGTATGTGAGTATCTTTTCCTGGTAAGGCAGAAAAGACCTATGCAAGAACAACAGTGCATCCCCCATGTAGGGAGCCTAATTCTTTAGGTTTCAAGATTCAAGTAACAACAAAATAAACATAAGAAAAGAAAAAAAGGTGGTCCCTCCCCTCCCCACCAGCCAGATCTATCTACAAAATGTTGAGTTCTTATGCCTGCTTAGTAACACTTAAGAAAAAAAGGTTTAGCAAACTGTAAATGTTTCATTTTTTTCTCTCTCACAAACGAGACTGATTTCCTCTGACTTCGTAGCTTGGGAATTCAACTTAGAAGCACCAAAAGATATTTGCAAACACAATATATGGCCGAGGAAGCTGAAGGATCCACTTAAAACTGAATCTCTAAGAGTTCCCCTTTCTTCCATAATTTCATGGTTTGATTGGAAAACTGCCAACCATGATTTTTCATCATCTGGTATTAAAACAACCGTGGTTGGTGAGTGTCTGCTGAAGGGCAAGCTCTTCTTGAACAGGGTAGGATGTAAAGCCAAGACAGAAAAATAATTTAAAAGTGTCAACTAGCCCACAAACAGGAACGCAACATTGATAACAAGAGAACTTTAGGAACACAAACTGTGTAAAGTTCAACAGTGGATCCCACTTAATATCTTAGCATTCTCTCGGTAGTATTTGGTGCTCAGAAAATGCGCAACTCTTCATTTTTTTCAGTAAGAAAAAAGAAAGACTTCTTTCCATGTCACCCTCCTTGTCCCTGACCTTCAGCAAGAGGCACCCCGAGTTTATGACTCAGGAGTGTGTAAAGATGCAGACTCTAGTTGGAGCTGTGCTTTGGGGTTCAGTCTGATTTTTGCACATGCTAATCATCCCTAAATGATAGTGTCTTTCATCCCACATTTTACAAAGAAACTCATTGCCATAGCAACTGGAATGTGATACTAGAAGTTATCTCATGAATTGGGTTTAGAAAGCTACCTCTTTGCTCATGCAGAATGGCAAGGGTCCCCAAACAGTCTTCAGCAGAGACCTTTCCCATAGGGGCTCCGGGACCCTGGCCACAGAGGGTGAACTCCAAACTACAGCGGCTCAGTCCGGCATAACCTGCTGTTTCTTTCTTGCTTATGTTACACATTCCAGCCCCATACGGATTGTTCTCATTTTGGCTTCCAAGGGAAGAAAAGTCCCAGAGAATAAAGTTCTAAGTTCTCTTTTGTGAAGTCTGGTAGAAATAGAGAATAGAAGATGAATGATTCTAGAATTTTTGTTGGCTTGGGGGAAAAAAGATGTTTTTCAAGTTTCCTATATTAATAACACCTTGAAAATTTGGGACAAATGACAACTTGTCATCCATGGAACTCAAGATGCTGCCATTACAAGGTATGGACAATAGGAAGTTATCCTTGACATCTCCTCTGCCCCCAAGACCCCCCACCCCACTCTCAGCAGAGCCTCTGTCATTGGTTTTCTCTTGCTCCCAGTTGGAGCTGTCTCTCTGGTGAAGGTAGGGGACGCGCTCATCCCAAACTCCTCACCTTAGGGCTGGCCTGTCCCTTGCCATAAGCCCCTGTTAGTGGGTGCCAGGTCTTTCTTGTCCACTGGGCACACTCTAGAGGACTGTGAGAGGAGAGAATCAGCCTTCCAGGTCTGGAGCTGACCCTGAGCATGAGCCCAGGAGGCTTTTCCTGGAGTGCGGACCCCAGGGGCCAGGTGTGCAAAAAAAAGTCCTGGCTCCAGGTAGACATCTCCAGGACAGCATCCAGGGCTGACAATCGGTACCTTCTCTGCCTGCTTTTCATTTACCATTAAGCAATCGGGGCCCCTAAATATCCCCCAGAACCTCCCAGCAGAGCCTGTGTTCCTGCCTGTGTGTTCCTTTCACATTCTGTGCATCTCACTGCTCTAGGCCGGTGGCCAGTTTAGATTAGGATAAACGATGATGGCGCATGTCATTAATACTGAACACTTGTGATGTGTCAGGCACTGGGCTGTATGGTCTTTGTGCAGCATGTCCTTTATTTCCACAGCTGGAGCAGGTAGGGATGGCCACTAACCCCATTTTACAGCCCAGGGAAATTCACAAGGCCAGGCAGCTGGGAAGCCTGATGCAACTCGAGTTTTTTTTTTTTTTTTTTTTTTTTTTGAGGTGCAGGTTCTGCTCTAAACCGAAGAGGGATCTCAAGGAGGGCAGTTCTGCACCACCAAGTGAGTGACTATTCACAGAATCTATGGAACACTCATTTCATCAGAAGGACTCAGTGGATAGAATCAATCGGCATGTAGCAGAGCTGAGCCCTTTATCTGCTCAAGGCTCCCCTCCCACCCCCATGCTCCCTGGCTCGCCCCCATCATCCCTCATTGCTCAGGTTTTGTGGTTGTTGTTCTTTCCCTCGTGTGAAACGAGAAATGCTGTTTGAATAACCGGTGGTGAGGGAGGCAGTGCAGACTCCAATGCAGAAATAAAAACCTTCAGAAAGATGCAATTTGGGGGATATTGGAAACCAGAGAATGGAACATCAGTCTATAAAATTCAACACGGCCAATAAAGCTGGAGCGACTGGTCAAGTGTTTTAGCGTGCACGGCTGCCAAGGAATTGGCAAGCATGTGCTAGGCAGCATTTCCAGACTAGAGACATTTGTCCTAGGCTCATTTTGGCTTCATTTCCATGATGCATCTCATGATTCTGAAGCACCTCAGCATTAGCATCATAAGCACAGCCATGAAAGTGTCCAAGTCTATTCCTGTCACAGGCTAAATGTTCCTTTTCAGAGCCCATGCTGCCACGGGTGGTGAGTGATGGTGGGAGAGTGGCCCATTACATAATGGCAAGTGGCATGCGGCAGAGGTGGCAGAGGTTAAAACACCTGTGCTCCCTGTCTCAGCTGCAACTACCCCTGCATATACATGTAACATGTGCCACATGCACATGCTGGGGACAGTCACATACTGAGGGGTTGTAAGAGTGAGGCTGAGCTCAGCACCTTCATTTTGGGTACATGGCCCCTCAAAGCCCAGACCACTAGAAGCCATTGTTGGCTAGCATTGCAGGTACATGGCAGACCCCTCTTCTAATCCTTCTTCTCTCTCCCCTTTATAGAAGGCCAAATCAGGCTTTTGACCTCATGCAATCCCAGGGGTGGCTCTGCCACCTCTGATGTCCCTTGGCTGGGTCTATGTGGGGTTGTTCCATCTGCCTAGATTGTGCTTCTGCCTTCGACACATTTCCTAGTTTATTCATGCATGGTTCTTTTGTTTTATTTCTATAGTCCAAGGCATATGCTATGTACTGGGGCCACATCAACACAGCAATGCGCTTCTTAACTCTAATATCTGTGAGCATCTCTGAGCCACTGAGAATCTTCTTAAGGCACTGTGCTAGGTGCTGAGATATATGAGTGTGTTAAACAGAGTTCCCACCTCACCATCTAGTAGAAGCCAATAGGGCCTTTCTCTTCTGATCCAACTCCAGCACAAAGCAGGAGTCTTTTGGTCCCATCTCCACGGACATGTTTTGCCATCCATGTATCTTGCTCAGAGGCAGACAGGCAAGACATGGAATGATTTCCTGTCAGTAACTGCTCCAGGACAGCTTGAGAACCTGCCATGCTGGGAACCAGTGTGCTGGCATCCATCTGGTCACAGTGTATGGACAGTATGTCCTCCTGATTCATGGGACAGAGGGGTAAACATGGTCCCTGTCACCACCTTGCCAGGGTCCACCTTATATGGAGACTGGAGTAATACTAGGTTATTTGGTCCCTAGTAGACACAAGTTCTGCACCAGCCAGGATTTGGTTTGACCTCCCTGGATTCTGTTCTCTAAGTGTGTGTGTGTATGTGTGTGTGTGTGTGTGTGTGTCTGTCTGTCTGTCTGTCTGTCTGTCTGGAGGTGGGATACAGACAGAACATGCATCTCTGAAATGTCGCAGCTGCCGTTCTGTCGAAGCACCAGTCTTTCTCTTTCCTTGCTTTACAGTTGTGACCTGGAGACCCAGCATCCTGGTCAAAAGGGATCCATCATGAAGTTCCAAGCACAGGGTAGAAAGCCATCTCCCTACCTTTGAGGAAACAGTCCTTGCTGTGGACGACGATGACCTTCTTGCCCAGCAGGCAGGCGGCACGGTGGAGCTCACAGTGGTTCTCGTAGAGAACCCCGTCGGAGCCGCACACGGGCACGTAGCTGGGCCTGCAGGCCTCCAGGCACTGGCACTCGGGCTCCCCGGTCTCCCTGCTGAGCACACACCGGCTCCCGCGGCTGCAGAGCTTCTTCCCACAGGAGGTTGGCTGCCCGTGGCTGGAGAGCCCTGCGGGGACACAAACAGGGTCAGCTGCAAGGTGCAGGTGGAGGGCAGCCTCCCTGTGGCTCTCTCGAGTCTTGGCCAGCAGTTCTGCCTGCTTGTGAATTAAGGCTACTGAGGTGGGGCCCTGGGGCTCCACAGAGTCCCTCTCCCTCCAATCAGAGGCGGCCACCGGTGCTAAGAAGGGCTTGTTGCCCAGTGGAGTTCCGCTTGGTGGATGGCTCGCTCTGAACATCTCAAACACAACACCTGGGACCCACGGGAGGGCCCTCGATAAGCTCTTGGTTCTTCCTTCAGCTCAGTCTTCCTGATGCCAGTTGACAAATGAAAACATCTGGCCATTCTGTGCTCACTCATTCTGTTCTGTAAGAGGTGCCTTACGCAGAGGACAGAGCCTGTGACCACTGTCCCCAGCCTTGAGCCAACAAGACCAGAAACCTGTTCAAATCAGTGGCTTTTTTACCAAAGTGGCTCCCTCCTTACCCTCCTTCACTCTTTTTATTTATTTTGTGGCATTAGGCCAGGCTGTGTGCCAGGTACCTTAGGGGTCCCCAAGGGTGAGCAAGACCTGGCTCTCCCTCTCTCTGACCTGGTCATTCTGTAAGGTGATGGCTCACATACAGACACAACTCTGGTTGGGCCAGGCAAACAGCTAAGGGGGCCCAGGAGCTACTTTGTGGGGAAGTAAATGGGGTTGGGGGCAGAGTTCATGGAAGAGGTATGCACTATGAACCCCAAAGGCTGAGAGGAGGGTGCTTCCTCTGAGACACAGCAGGCCAGGGCTCCTTAACTTTCTGCATGTAGCATTCCCGTGTGTCAGGTATGAGACCTGATGGGAGTAGGAGTTTTTATCAGGGGTGGGAGGGAGAGGGTTAGGCAAGGTGTGATTCTAAGACTGAGAGAGCTAAGCAGAGAAACTGAAGTGTGTGATACTCTAGGCACCAGGGAGCCATGGCAGAGTCTAGAGAGGAAGTATACTCTTAAGTGTTCAGGATGGGGGTGGAAGGGCAGCCTAGGTGAGAAGAGTTGTCAGCCTTTTCCTCCAGGGACAACAGGGTTCTCCATGTCATATATCATTAGTCGTGCCACTAAAAGCCTTTCCCCTACTCAGCACTTTCCAGCACAATGTCGTTGTGTAGGTAAGAAGCCAGTACATTGCTTTGGGTGTCCCCTGCACCCAGACACACACCCATAAGAATCTCAGGAAAGCAGAGCTCATAACCTAGAGGGCAGGGCAGCTGGCCCAGTGGCTTTTTGGCACAAGGGCACTAATAAGTCAATGGAAAGTCAAACAAGTATCCCCAAACGACGTTATACTTCTTTAGAGGAGTTCAGAGAATTAGACGATTGCTATGTGTCATTAATGGCAACAGATGGGAAGTTAAGACTTATTAAGAGATATCAAAATACAAACAATGAAAACATGAATGCAGATTTTATAGCCACAGAAATCTTTTGTTTTATGTTTTAATTAAATCTCCAAAATACTCAGCAAAACAGAATAGCCCTGATAGTAGACTCTGAGGCTTCTGCCATAGCTCCTGCCCCATGAGATTAAAATGTCTAAGGGAAAAAAAGAATCCTCCTTTTCTTGTTTTTAGTTAAGTCTGCTTTTCATCATTATGGATTTGAAAGGAAAAAAATCAGTTATCGGCAGATTAACTGCTTGATTCAATAACTCATTTAAATTCCTCCAGCCATGGCAAGCCAAGAAATATTGACTTTTTCTGGAATCGCAATAAACTAGAAGGTCAACATATCTGGGCGCAGTATAAAAGTGCAGATACTGAGCAGGGGCCTGTGAATCTCCTTTATCTACTTTGCTAATTGTTGGCTTGTCACCTGTTACCGGGAAGGCTGGGCTCCAGGGCTCTGCAGCCTGCCCGTGGAGGATGACCACTGGTGAGCAGGAGGCGGGGGAGGAGCTGAAGGCAGAGTCTTGGTGGGAACCTTCCTCACAGGCTTCACTCTGCTGCCTTGCCACAGAGTGTGTTTGATGAGCAGGATTCTCCTGGGTTTTTTTGGAAATGGGTTACCCAAGAAAATGCTGACAGCTACTTGAAGAAATAAACATGGCTCTAAAAATACCAGCCTTTGTTTTTTTTTTTTTTTTTCCCAGGATGGGGCAAGACACAAAGCATTGCCGTAAGATAACTGTTTTAGTAAACTTCCCTGTGCAGGCAGGATGGAAACCCACGATCACCCCTCTTTGAAGCAACAGAGCCTCCTCCCTGAGCCTCTGGCCTCCAGAGCCGGCTGTGGGCTTTTGCTCTGGCTGTGCCTATCCCCCCACTACTCTATCCCTCAGCTCCGACTGGCCTTTGAGTTCAAGTGTTCCCTCCCAGAGGGTCTGCTCCACATGCTGCCTTAGGAGGCCCCACAGGGGCTAGACTTAAAGTCCTTAAATGGCCCTGGGACACTCAGCTTTAAGAAACATAGTTTTTAGTGTCGATCTCTTTAACACAGATTCAGTGCCTCTGTTTCAACACCAGGTTAGGGGCTGGGGTGGTTGGGGTGGTGGGGCCCCCACATGCTCTAGTTTTGGGTAGGTGTATCTCCTTCGCCTCCTCCCGGGTGCAGGAGGGAGGTGGAAAGATGGCGGCGAGAAGTAGAGGTGCGTCCATGATGGTGTGCCTTTGGCAGTAAAGGGGACCAGAGTCCTGGAGAGTCAGAGCAGAGGGGGCTTCAGAGACCATCGAATTCAGCCAGGCTGTCAATCTAGAGCCCACTCGTCATGGACAGGGGAGTCTGCTCTACCTGATGCTCTCCTTTGAAATGCCCCATGTCCAGATTGTAGTGAATCTTTCTGAGGACCAGTGCCACGTGTGTGTGCATCCAATGCCCATGTCCCAGCTTGCAGGAGTGACTCCTGCCACCTCCCAGGGGCCATGCCCTAAGATGTCAGTGTTAAGAAAACACCTGTGCCAACAACCTGCGGCCACTGAATTCCTCGAGAGCCCTCAGGTTCTCTCCGATATGGAAATCAACTGTCGGCAAATATTTGATTCCTAATTATTTGCAATTAAGACAAAAGGAGTTCTACAGCCCTGCAAGCTCCCTTCACAAAGGCTGTTGACAGCAGGCCCCTGGGCAAGCTGAGAACCCCCATACAGGGGGCAGGCCCGGAATCTGATCCCTAGACACAGCAACATGCTGACCAACGGGGTGGTTTCCTCATTAAGCAAGCCCCTCGACACTAACCTCCTTCTTGTCATTAAAACAGAATGAATTCCCCACTCCTACCGGGAGGATGATAAAACAGTAATGGGAAAGGTAACCAAGTGAGACTGCGAGCAACTGCCTGCGGTGTTTATGAGGACGACCGCGACGCATGAAAAGGATATAACGTGCTTAATTTATAGTCATAAAGAAAAGTCGTTTACCCAGGTTAAAAACTGATCATCTTGCCAAATAAGCTGCTTTTCAACACTAATTAAATTTACTGAACATGGGTAGAAATGGGAATGGTTACATTAAAGTGATGGAAGCCAGACTAACAGGTCCATTTGTACCAGTTGGTGCTCAAGATTCCCCCATGTGATTCAAATGAGCATCCTGGATAAGAGTGTCACAGATCGGGACTGCCAAGGCTCAGAGGACAGGTACAGGTGGCGTGGTCTAGCATATGCGGAAGGAAAGCCTGTGGACCCTGGAGAAGCCTGTTCAAGGAGGGTGAATCCTGAGATCTGTCCCTGTCAAGGTTTGGATCTGGAATATTCCCCAGAGTCTCATGGGTTGAAGGCATGGTCCCCCCAGGCAGCAGGGTTCAAAGGCAGAGATTTTGGGAAGTGATTGGATCATGAGGGATCTGACTGCATCCGTAATGAATTCCTTGGAAGCTGAATGAACCAAGAGAATCTGAGCAGGTGGGGCATGGTTAGAGGAAGGAGGTCATGAGGATGTGCCCTCGAGGGCTCTCTCTTGTCTCTATTTGTGTCTCTGTCCTTCTGTCTGTCTGTCTCTCTGCTTCCTAGCAGCATGCACCTGCCATGCCCTTCCCACCATGGTGTTCTATGTCCCTTAGACCCAAAGCAATGGAGCCAGCCGACCATGGACGGAAACTATGAAACCACCAGTCCTCTGTAAGCTGTCCATGCCAGGTATTTTGGGTCATAACAATGAAACGCTGACTAACACAGACCCAGAAAGTGGGTTTTTATTCACCGAGAGCGGGAAGCCTCCTCTGCTGTCTCCTCACAGCGGGCCTCGTCTAAGAGCACAGCTGGATGAGTTCGCTCCCAAACTCTGATTCAGTCTCTAGCAGGTTCTTGGGCCCAAAAATAAATCCATGAGTGCTCCTTTCTCGGAGATCATGCCCCAAAAATGACTCACGAAGAAATCTACAGTCGGAATGTTCCCTCCACGACTGGAGTTGAGACTTAATTTCCACTGGAACAGTATAAAGAGGTGAAAGCTTTAAGAGGTGATCAAGTCATGAGTGGGTCAATGCTGTTGTCATAGGAGCAAGGTAGTTAAAGGAGTGAGTTCCTGACGCCCAGGATGAGTTGGGCCTGATTTCTTCTCTGTCTCCACGGGTTTGCTTGCCTTCTTGCCATGACGAGGCACATAGAGGCCCCTGGCAGATGCTGGCACCAAGTTCTTGGATTTCTCCGCCTCCAGAATCAAAAGCCAGAACCAAAATGAATTTCTATTGTTTATAATTTACCCAGTCTGTGGCATTCTGTTATGGCAGCGGAAAATGGAGTAAGACAAGGGAAACCCGTTAGCCTTTCTACTTTGGGATGCTAAGGGCCGGCTGGCATATTTTGTCCATACAACTTTTCAATGTCTAGCCTAAGTGTCAATGACAGCCCTACCTTCCCTCTGGCCAGGCCTTTGGAAGTACTGTACCTGGCGAGTGCCCACGCAAAGTAGCTGGGCATGACTCTTCACAACCTCGCTGCACCCAGTGAGGTGACAACTTGGTCACTACTTTGGCAGAGCCCAAAGCAGGCCAACAGAAGCAGGACATGGACATGGAAGACCAGAGACAGCATGCACAGCACCAAGAACCTCAAGAATCTTATCTACCACCTTCCATGACCCTGCCTGCCACAGTAGCCATCTCAGGCTTTAATAGAAGAAGGTATCTATAAAGGAACCAAGTGGCCACCATGGGCAGATACAGTGTCTCATGTGGGTCATACACTTTACCTTCTATGACATACAAGAGACATGTAACCTTTACTTGAATCGCTAGAGCTGGGGACTTGCCTAGGAAGGGCTAAGTGTGTACAGAGATGTGCAGACATGTGGGGTGTGAGGTTCAGGGACTTCAGGTGATGGTCCCAACACTCCACCCTATACTACCCTATTCTCAGACATGTCTAAGATCTAGACAGAGAGTATTCCATCTTGTTTCCCTCAAGGTACAGTGCCTGCAGAACTTGGCAGAACGTGAATGTAGAATTTGGGTTTGTGTGAGGGCATGGCAGTAGTCCCTGTGTGCCAGTTCTCCGTTCACCTATTCATCCAACAGGTTTTTTTTTTTTTTTTTGATGAATACCTACCATGCACCAGACCCAATCCTAGGTGCTATGTACACCAGACAGACTAGGATCCTGCCCTCAGGGCATTATAGTGTAGGAAGACATGCAAGAGAATAAACCAGCAAACAAATGAACAAGACAATATGGATTTGGCACAGGCCAGGAAGGAAGTAAATGGAAGCTGGCACAAGAGGAGACATGGCCCAGAAAGCCTTCTCCAGGGCCAGCCTCGCTGGGCACAGCCAGGCTGCAGCAAGCTGAGATGACACTTCCACTTGCCCAGCTGTGCATCTGTCTCCCTGACACTCAGAACTCCCTGCTCTACTCCTGGCTGCAAGAGACCCACCCCCCCCCCACACACACACAATTTTATAATCCAGAAAGAAACCCTTGGCACCCCTCATGGCTGTAGGTGAGAAGAGAGCAGCCCTCCGTGCTGACCACAGGCCTTCTTGGCCAGGTCTTCCACAATTCTCCAGATGTCTGGGTGCTGCTACTGCCTCAGGTCACCTCCACCCTGTAAGTTCTCATTGACACTCCAAAGCTGGGGAGAGAATCTAATTCTTCCTGAGGTCAAGTGCATGGCTTGAGGCAGAGAGGGCCGGGCTATAAAAATTACTATTTACAAAGGCATGCCAATGACCAGACACTGTGCTTAGAACCCATCATCTCATCCTTATCACTCCCTTATGAAGTAGACACATAGGCCTTGCTCAGAATGTTTTTGTGGCGTAAATGTATGCCCGTTTTACAGATAAGGAAATATGAGAGGCCTATGTTAGATAGCATATAGGGGATAGAGCCTAGATTTGAATTTATCTTGATCCAAATCCCTCCTATTTGTGATAATCTGCTTGGTTGGAGATATAGCCCCTGCCTTTAAGGAACTCATGCTAGCAGGGTCCTAAATGCCACATTCCCAGCTTCTCCAACATTATGGTGCATGCAAACACCAGTTACCCTGGTTATGCAATCTCTACTGCTCACATCTCTTTGACATGCTGCTCTGAGGCCTATTTACCAATCACCCTGAGGGCTGCTGGTTTACAGTGCAACAGAAGGAAGTCCCGCTTGGATCTGTGCATATCACAGGCCAAAAACCATGCCTTGTCACTCATGGTAGCCTGGACAGCAAGCATCCCACCAGCCCTGCCCCCTGCCATTTTGTCTGAAACTGGACAGGTGACAGCTGGAAAGACATGGTCTCCTGCAGTGACCACAGGTGACTTCAAATGCAATTAACAAGCACAGCCTGTAAGCTGAAACTCTTCTTTTTTTTTTTTTTTAGAGAGAGACAGAGAGAGACAGAGAGAGAGAGAGAATTTTAATATTTATTTTTTAGTTTTCGGTGGCCACAACATCTTTGTTTGTATGTGGTGCTGAGGATCGAACCCGGGCCGCATGCATGCCAGGTGAGCGCACTACCGCTTGAGCCACATCCCCAGCCCAAAAAACTCTTATTTGCTTCATGAAAATAGAAGTTTGACCAGCTCTGAAAGATACAACCAAATTCTCCAGATCCCAAAGCTTAAGAGAAACACATAGTTATCCATTGCTGGAAGGTAATGTAACCTGTCAGGTGGGTTGCTCACAGTTCCTAAGTCCAGGCCTCAAAATAAACCACCAAGATAAGAAATGCATGGGACATGGAGGGAGGGGGACTTTTTCTATCAGCAGGCCCCTCAATTCTGCCTCCAGAGTTTGTACCATATATGGAAACTAGAGAGGAATCAGGAATAAAAAAAATGAGGGAAGATTTCATGAAAATAGAAGGAAAAATGATGGAGTATGGGAAGTCAATGAAGGGGAAGGGATGTGAGATGGGAAAAGAGAGGAATGAAATTGACTAAATTGTGCATGTATGAATATTTACAGTGAATTCCAGTTTATGTATAATTATTATGCACCAATTAAAAAAGTAAATAATAGAAGGAAGACCACTATAAGCTGAAGAGGACTAGGGTGAGGGAAAGGGGAGGTACGGGGAATTAAATGGAGCAAGTCATGATATATGAATGTATGAATATGTCACAATTAGCCTTGTTATTATGTATAACTATCATGTACTAATAAAAAGTTTAAAAAAATTTTAAAAAGGAGTTTGTATCTAACCAACTTCATAATGCACCAAAGCATACTTAGGTTCCTGCATAGTGTTCAGGGATTCTGGGCTGGGCTTTTGGAGGCGGTTATTCCGGTCACAGATGAAGCACAAGCACCAAGCACTAGTGCCACAGTAGCCTTTAAAAAACTTAAACACGTGACTTGTGATAATACAGAGTGAGCCTGTGTCAAGCATTGGCCAACTGATTAATGAGAGAGGCCGCAGGAGGGAGAAGCAGGTTCAAAGGAGAATTTGAGGAGGGGAACAGGCTTTGGAGGAAGAAGCCTGGCGAGGTGAGACACTCAACCAGTGAATGACCTACTGCCCAAGAAAAGCATGCTCTTCGGGTTTTTTCCACCTGAATGAATCATTTATATCTTTACCCAAAACAAACATCTAAGTGAACATACCATGGCAAAGTCTGCACTTTAATCCATGGTGAACAGTGAGCTAGGATCAGTGTCTTATCCATATGATGCTTGGAGGACCTGCCACCTCACTGTGCCTTATTCCCACCATTTGGATAATTTTCTCAATCCCACCAAAGTGCCTACAGTGACAGATATCCCCCAGAAGGCTGCCAAGGACTCTCATCTTTCTCCCCTACCTGGGGCAACTCCTTCTTTTGGACCCCCCAGCCTCATAAAGGGACCACAAAGAGGGAGAAATGTGAGGCCCCAAGTCACTTAGCTGAACTCCAGAGGGACAGTGAGAACTCTCCTGGCAAAGGTGCCAAGGAGCAGAGAGGGGAGGAGGTGGGCGGGAGGCCTGCGTGCCACCTGACGTGAAGTACCCCTCACTGCTTCACCATGGCAGGTGCCATGTCAAAACTTGTCACGGAGTTCACCGTCACCCCAACTTGTCTCAAAGAACACCCAGTTACATTTAGCTATTCCCCCAGTTTTGTGCTCCCTGGGACTTGCTGCCTGCCTGATCTCAGCAAGTTCCCTACCCTCTTTTTTTCTGACTTAGAAATGAGGCCATATGGTCTGTCCCTTCCAGGATCGCTTTGAGGACTGAATGAGATAATTCATGGAAAGAGGTTGGCACGCAGCAAGTGCTCAATTCAGACATTCTGCATTAGTGAATGACTGAATAAATAGGACTGGAAAAGAAGGAGCCATTTGGTTCGGCCGATTCAAGTGTGGGTAGTTACTGTCTTCAGGAGGCCAGCCTTAATGGAAAGGCAAACACATTTATATTGAAAGTATCGACTGGTTTTTACAAGGTAGACTCCAAACAACAGGCCTCAAATATCCCAAAGAAATAAGTACCCTGCAATTTTTCCTGGAGCAGAGATTTTTTTTGAACCATGCAAACTGCCCAGCTTCCAAACCAGAGGAGTCCGAAACATATACTCTCAGGACAAAGTGACCGGAACTGATTGATTAATCATAGCACAAACCCTGCAGACTCCACTTGGAGCTTAAGGGTGGTATCAGAAAGTCACTGAGGCCCTTGATCTTACAGGGGAGCCCAGAGCACTTTGCAAAGGTGGCCTGCCCAGTTCTGACACCAAAATGTCTCTTAGGCGTCTCAGGCCCACATTCTGGAGTCAGGCCCAAATGAGTCTCTTCCTTCGGGGAGCCCTCTGCAATTTTGTGCTCTCCCCCTCTACAATGTGGGACCACAGGAAGCCCCTGCACCACTTATTTCCAGAGCCTTCCTTTCAGTCCTCCCATAGGGGACTGTGTCCAAATGAAGGAGCTCCCAGAATTCTGGCCTAGGCCTTTCTCTGGCTGCTAGCTGGTGCTCAGTGCCCCTCAGGACCTGACATAGGGCCCTCTGCAGCTGGCTGAACTCCACAACCCCTCACAGCTCCAGGGCCTGGTGTGAGGTGGCTTCTGTAGATTCAGGGCCCGGGACCAGGCTCCATTTCTCATCCATTCAGAGCTCGACACAAGAACCTATCACAGAAGCAGCTATAGAAATCTCCAGGTGAAAGACTGAAACTGATGAAGGCAGAGACCCAGGAATGGCTGGTTGGAGATGTGAGTAATCCCAAATCAATGGTTTTAAAGAAACCGACAGGGTGGCAGGCTGAGAGAGAGACTGCAGAAGGTACTGGGTGGGAGACTAGAGGCCTGGCAGGTACCAGGCCAGTCTCTTTCACATGTCAGCCGCAGTCTCCTCCCTGGTAACCTGACAGGGCTGCTCAGAGATCTCCTGAGACAGAGACAATCATCTCACATCTCTGAACTTTGGGTGTACATCAGAGCATGTGTTTTAACTTGGATGTCTTTTGGCTATAACAAAATTACAAAAAGTCGCTGCTTGCTTTTTCCCGATTGAGTTATCTCAACTGACTTTTGAAGGGTTATTTCAGAGAACTTCTTGGGAAGAAAAGCTGCATTAAAATGTGGTGTACAATAGGATTTTTGCCCTTGGGAGAGCTTCTTTTACAAAATGGCTTTGTTTTGGAGTGCTTTCTCCAAATATATTCTTCTCCTGGAGTTTTTTTTTCTTTGCCTAAAAACCTCTCCAGCTTGCATCTGTCTTATACTCTGTCACCAGGCCCCTCATTTTTCCTTCAGGTACCAAGCTCCCTTGTCACTTTCTCTGGATCCTCGGGGCTCTCTCCATCTTCAAGCTGAGGAGACCAGATGTTGCCGTTCTCACTGCCTTACAAATGCCCTGTGATCTGGGCTCTTTCCGGCTTCTCCACCAACTAATGATACAAGGCCGTGACACCTCAGGCTGCCTCCAATTATTTCAAGGATAACTTGGGAGTCACTCAGCATGAGCCACAGTGATGCCTCCTGCCACTTTATCCCCTGAGACTTGGAGCCCAGCAAGGGATGCTGAATTCTTCCAGGTCCCCTTACAAGGGCTGCCCCCAAGTCTATACTTCGCCTTGGTTAGATCTTTTGACATAGAGATGCCTCACAATAATGACTTACTCTCCTCCTTGATTATACTTTTAAAGGAAGAAAAAAAAAAGAAAAAGGGTGCTTAATTAAAATATCTAATATTATTAGCATATACACAAAATGACTATTGTCTATTCAATTGGGTGTCAATTATTCTTCTCAAAGGCCTGCCCTTTTCTCTCAGTGGGATTCTCAGTGTGATTCTCAGCCATAAAAACATGTGCCAAAAAATCTCAACACCCAGCTTAGTAATAATATCAAATAAATAATCACATTTCTTTTATTCTTAGCTCTAGTCTGGCTCACCTGCTGCTGAGGTCTCTGCAGTGAGCACTGAGGCTCTGGGAGGCTGGCTTTCCTGGGTGAATAGGTTGACTGGGTCTGCTCCTCCTCTGAGACCAGAAGAGCCCATGGAGACCTGGGAGGAGGAGGCTGCCTCCATGTGCCTCCACAGGGGCCTGGCAATCTGTCTACTTCTGCAAGAGCCCCACAGGGTCAGCCATGGCTCAGTTGGGTGCTACTTGTGAGACTACTATTGTCTTATGGTACTTAAGGGTCTCGTTCGTAAGCCTCCAAAAACAGAAAAAATGGAAAATAACCATATGCTTCAGGAGGTCCAACTTCTAGAGAGAGGGAGAAGCAAGAGAATCGGAGCTTCTAGACGGAGGAACAGTGACAACTTAAACAGTGACAACCAGGTACCAACATTCCAAGAGAATCAAATACAGTACAAAGAGGGCTTTAAAGAGAAGTCTGATTTTTTTTTTTGAAACAAAAAGAAAATCAGAGGAATTTCAAGAGAGAATGGTCACCACTGAGACCCAGATTAGCAACTTTCAAGATCAGTATAAGATATATCTCAAAATCCAGGGCACAAATAGAAATAAAAGGAGTCTTAAAATACAACAGTCAATCCAAGACAAAACTTCAAGGCAAGAGGAGTAGGAGAAAACTCCTAAACATGTCATCTTAGACAGCCAGTCCCAGAGTGTTTCCAATTTAAATCAGAAGACAGACAGGGATAGTCGTCGTCACCATCTTTATTCAACAAGGAAATACACTGAGACAAGAAAATGAAATAATCATTGACATTTGGGAAAGAAGGATAACTACCAGCTATCTCTTTCTGCTGATTATGTATCCA